TTGACATTTGCAATAGGCAATATGCATATGACGCCAAATTGCACCAAACTTTTTTAAGTATACTTTATTACTATAAAACATTCCTGCAAAGATTTTTTTTTAATATAATATGATTTAGTGGCAAAATTTATCATTAAAAAGTGTCTTTTTCCAAATTCCCTCGCTAAGTTCTAAAACGCACACTATTATTGGTGGAAGCAAGTGCCTTATCTAATATGGCGTCCCTGTTTTGACAATACACAGTTCATTTACGTTAGTTTATATAGAAATACACTCTTGAAGTATTTTACTGTACACACGATATCAAAACCAACATTAAAATAAAAAAATAATGAATAGAATTATTAATTACCACTTATTTGTACCAGGAACAATAAAAATGAATCGATTTTTAATTTTTGACCTTGAGAAGTTGGTTGTTTTTTATGTCGAAGTTACATCTGAGCGTATGTTATGGATGGAATAAGACGATTTACGTCAATTGTCTATTAACAACTCCGGTCGCGTTTTAGTCGCTCGAAAATGGTCGTAATTTTATTTTATTATTTTTAGCTCAATGGTTGAATATTTTCACGTCATTTTTTCTGGTTATTTTATAACAAGTAGAATCATTTAAAAAAAAAGAAAAAAAATACACGCATATTCCATTTTCCTATGAAATTGTGTGATTAAGTTAGCTGTTGTGTATACTTATATAAAAACTACAGCCAAGGTGCGACGCAAGTGAGTATGCGCAGCAACAGGTCGGGGCAGTGCCTGTGCGCGGCGAGCTGCCCCGACGCGCCGCTCGCGCTGGCGCTGGGCGGCGACAACAAGCAGTGCCACATCGAGATGATCGACCTCGCCGCTAATGAACAAGGTAACACACAAGAAACCACCCAACACGCAATAACAAAACACATATATGTCGGCTTCATATCAGAATTACTACTACTCGAGACCACATGTGGGCGGCCATAGGTAAAGTCGCATTCCATGAACACATTCACTATATTCCTCAGTCAGGATATCATCATACTACCAAGCTCATATTGTTCAAACAATGTTCTCACAACGATCCCTATTTTCAGAATAATCTAAGTTCTCACGAAAGTCGCTTGACGACGCTCGTGTTCTAATTATGCCTTACATTCGAATTGATTTGTTTTCTGATTGCGACATATACATATATGTTTAAAAAAACAAAACCAAAAAAAATGGTAAACAATTTAAAAAAAGATGTAACTACAAAGGCAACAAGGTTACTGAACTACAGTAGCAGGAAATAAAGCAAACAAATAAAATAATAAAACCACGTCCAACACTTTTCAAAACACTATTAGTATTCTACAATAGAACCATAATAAGTTAAAATCCAAGGGAAACACAAAATGTTTTAAGTTATAGAGGTTTTAAGTTATCAAAGGTCTTTGTTATAGAGATTTTTGGCTCTGATAGGAAGGGAACATATTATTTTTTGAAGTTATTGAGGTTTTTAAGTCGTCGAGTTGTTTATGGTATTTGCTTATACTCAGTTTATTCCTAAGTTTAACTTTATAGCGCGTTTATTTTTTTAATCTTTCATTTCATACTTTCACATTATGTGTATTCAAAAGTATACATTTATTTAGCAGTATTATAATATAAAAAAATTACAATATTACTTAATTTTCTATATTTTTACAGTACTGAACCGCTTTGGACCAAGAATCCCAGCCGCCGCGACCGAAGACATGGAGTCATAGTTCAAATTATTAGTGAATCGATAATAATTATTATTATGTATTTAACTGTGAAGTTACAATATGTATAAACTTTTGTATACAATATTTGTTCATACGACTATTAATGTAAGTAAATATAATGAATAAAAGACGAATGAAGATATAAAATTGTTTAATTTTCCAACCTTATAACCATCTTTACACATTATTTACACCAACTTAATAAATTCAAAAATAGAAAACTGGACTAAATTTTCTATAAGAAAATGCAGACGAATTGAGTACCTTTCGTTTCCTCCTCGTTTTGGGAAGTCGGTCATAAAATTATGGTGATTTAGTGCAGTGCTTCTCAACCACTGTGTCGCCAAATCTATATTCCATATATTATAATAAAGCGTAAACATACACTTTGTTGCCTAAGATGTCAGCAATTACAGCATATTTTTGAATATTTTTTTAATAAAAAGCCCTACACTTACGTCATGCTTTAGGCTATATATTTTCACGTCATTAAACTTATGGGGTAAATATTTTGGATAAAAACCCTAATGTGGGAAAGAGACTATAAGTTGCTGCCAACATCAAGGAAGCAAGATTGCCAAGGTTTGTCATGTCATGTCATTTTGACATTTGCTATCGGTAATTTCAGACATGTAAACAATAAAATAAAATTTTCATAATTTCATGCGGACGAAGTCGCACGGAAACAGCTAGTTTTGCACATTTCACTATTTATGCAATGTGTTGTAGTAAGTAAATATAATTTTTTTGAGTGCCGTCAAATTTTGAAATCGTTAAATATGTGTTGCAACAAAAAAAAGGTTGAGAATCACTGATTTAGTATAACGACCTAATATTGAATCTATTTTTCAAGACTGTTTTCTAAGCGCTTCCAATCTGACGTCTTTTTAATGCAATTTAGAGCAGGCGCATATCTTTGACTAAACTATCGCATGACACTTGTGCGATTGTTTTGCAGCAATATCAACTCTTTAGTTGCATTACTAAAAATCGAGTAGTTGCGCTCTTTAGAAGCTCATAGAAACAAGCGAGACAACGGTTGTGCGATAGTTTGGTCAAAGTTGTACGCACCATCTTAAAGGGTAAACGTAGCATTTCAGACGCTGTTACATACTTAAATGCCGTTTTAACCAGCATTTAGATTCCCTTATACCTTTACCAAAGCTTCCATCACCTTCGGGGTCAGACTAAGTAAATATTATATTACCTTTGTCCAGCTTCATAACTTAGGACTTGGCATGCTGAAAAGAAATGTTTACAAGTAAATATAAAAAAAAAATATTTTCGTTAACGATTTTTTCATACTTTTGAGGTAGTTTTTTTGTAGCAAAACATTACACTAAAATCAAAAATCTCACGCATTTTTCTCTAAACTAGTTCAGTAGATTTTTTAAATTAGTTCGTCACATTGGGCGCTATCGGATAAAGGGTTAAGGAAAAAATACTAGAGGAATAGCATTTTTAAGGATAATTTATTGGTACATGGGACATGTACCTATACATATAATAAAACTAGCTTTCACCCGCAACTCCGTCCGCGTATAATTAAAAAAAAAAGTGAGTAGCCTATGTGTTCCTTCAGACTATCCTCTACATCTATACCAAATTTCATCGATATCCGTTCAGCAGCAAACATCCATCCATCTAAACTTTCGCATTTATAATATTAGTAAGATTGGAGTGTCTGTTTGTAATATCCAAAGAAAAATTCCAGATTTCGGGAAGATGGTGTATTTGCCTTGATAACGAAAATCGAATTTAGTTTTTTTTTGTCTGTCTGTCTGTCTGTCCGCAAGCCGCGTTGGTTCCGGGTAATCTCCGAAACGGCTGG